TGCCTGGAAGTTTTCAAGAGCAGGTCAGACAGAATGTCTAGTCAGGGATGCTCCTGGCTTGAGCAGGGGGTTGGACTAGATGATCTCATGAGGTCCCTTTCAGCTCTACAGTCCCTTCTGTAAGATCCTGTTATAGATGCTGGCTGCAAAATGTGGCCCTGTTTCCATGCCTGAGTTCTGATTCTTCCAGTATTTGCCACTAACAGAAAACTGGTAATTCAGCATTAGAATTGATCTGTTTAGTGATTTATATCATCCTCACTCAGAGTCTATCTATCAGTGGGCCTGATCATGACATCCATTTTAACCTAGTAATTAGTTTTTCACAAGGTCCACTACTACTACAGACATTTTTGCAACAACAATGTAGTGAAATGGATAAAATTGAGATCAAATTGGAAAAATGCTACAGTACATATATTACAGGCCTCGGTGAAGCAGCAAATATTCACTTTGGATTCAGATTTGGCTGATTCAGAGGGACAGTGATTCGATTTGGTGATTCAAAACACCGTCCCAATTCAATTTGGCTGATTCAGATTCAGAGATTCGGCAATAGACTATAATGTGGAATCACTAAAATACCTATAACTTTGTCATTTGTTGGCAGATTTAGATAAAAGCAGCAGGGATGGTAGCCGCTTTTGAGGGTATGAAATGTGCCAAGTTTCAAGGAGATAGGTGCAGGGGTTTCTGTGAAAGTGAACCTCAAATTGTTGAAAGCAAAACTCTTATTACTTGTGTGTGTTAAGGCAGAGTGGGATGAAAACAGCATGGATGGTAGCTCCTCATACAAGCATGAGGCCTGCCAGGTTTCAGACAGAGTGGTGCAGGGGTTTCTGTGAAAGTGAACCTGAAGATTCTGAAAGGAAATACAAAAAGTAAATAGGTGCAGAGTGAGGAGGGTGGCACTCACTCCGTCTACACATGGAGGTTGGGGAACCCCAGCAGCAGGAGGTTCACCTTCAGAAACACCAGCTGCTACACCAAAACACAATCCAAGAGGGTGAGGTGTCAGAACACCCACAGCAATGCTGAACACTTTCTTGGATGGTGGACAGGACACGTGTTCCCAGGCAACCGTGGCAAAATCCTGCCACACCTGGCCATGGGTTGCCCAATAGGCCAAGGGGTCACAGTGTAGCAGCTCCACAGCCTCTGCAAGATAGGTAGCCACAGAGGCATCCACACTACCTGCCCAATGCTGGGGTCTAGTGCCTCTGGACCCCAACACTGAAGCCATGCCATTGACCCACACTGGCAGCAGCTGTGGTGGAGGAGATTGGTTCATGGTTGGACTGCTGGCACGGAAATCCAGTGATTGAGGGTTTTGCTGCTGCAAATGCTCCCCTTCACCCTTGGGTTGCACATGCCCACCAGCACATGGACTGTACTGGACTGCAATGGATCCAGCCACTTTTTGATGCTCTCCTTCAGCTACTTCACTAGTGCCTGCAGCTCTGGTGAAAGCAACTTGCCCCAGCCAGGAACATCAATCCCATGGAACTTCTCCATTCCATTATCAAGCTCCTTCACTATGGGGATCACCTGGCTAAGGAAGGCATTGCCAGCGCTGAGGCTCTTGATGGTCTTGAGGAATGGCTTGAGGACCAACAAGATCTGGAAGATGGTATCCCACTCTGTTTTGTTAAGGGGGGCACTGATCCCAATCTCCCCGAGCAAGGCCATCTCATGGATGGCCTTCTGTAGCTTGACCAGTCTTTTGAGCACCAGGTATGTGGAGCTCCACTGAGTCTCCACATCCTGCATGATTTTGTGTTGTGGGATACTCAGCTCTGCCTGTTTTTCCCATAGCATCTTGCCCCCACTTGATGCTCCAGTGGAAGTAACCTGCCACCTTCCTGCATTTTGAAATGAGATGGCTGGTAGTGATGGTGCCATCACCAGCAGCCCTGTCCCCCTCCAAGGGGTCCCTGACTATGAGGTGGAACTTATGTGCTACACAGAGAATACCAACACAATTGGCATCATGCACTGCTTTGACCATATTGGTTCTGTTGTCGGTGACCATGAACCCATGGGTGAGCTCACCCTGCCCAACAAGCCACCCCTACACCATGCTGTTCATGTCCACCGTGATCTCCCTTGCTGTGTGGGACTCATCCATCACCTCCACTTGAAGGAGAGCCTACCCATGCCCTGACTGATCGCACCAGTGCCCTGTGAGGGAAAGTTAGGCACGATCTTCACCCCTGCTGCTCCAGATGTCTGAGGTGAAGTGCAAGGCCACCTGAAGTCCTACATTCCACAGCTCCTCCCTCAAATACTCCCTGCATGCCTCCAGGGCACCACTGTTCTGCTAAAGGTGGTGCATGTGAGCACTTGGTACAATGGGGTCATGAGTCACCTGAACCTTGCACGTTCAACAAAGGAGAAGGGCTGGCCATGCAGAGCAAGCATCTCCCCAATGCTCTAGGGCAGTGGTCTCCAAACTTTTCTGATCGCGCACCCCTATCAGTAAAAAATTTTTGAGCATGCACCCCCAATATATGTATATTTATATAAATATAAATAGAAGTTCTAATATTTTCTTCCTGCACCCCAATGGACCATCTTGCGCACCCCACTTTGGAGACCACTGCTCTAGGGGACTTTGTCTTTTGAATGCACCCCCCTTGTCTCTGCCTTTCCCTCACTGGTCCAGGGTGGCCTGCTTCTGCATCTTGGGGATGGAGGCTTTGGAGTGTGAGGGGGACTTATTTTTGGGCATGCTCCCAATGGTGCCAGGCTGAGGAGGAATAAGGGCAAGGGGGTGCTGCTTCCTGAGATGCAGCAGCATCACCGTGGTGGTAAAGTGTTTCACCTCCTTGCCCCAGCTCATCTGCTTTGGCAGTGCTGGCAGTTAATGTACCTGGGATCATCTGTCACCTCAAAATGATCCCATACTACACGACCCACCTCCTTCTCGGTTGAAGGTGGGGATCCTCAATGGACAGGATATACCTTACAAGAAGAAAGACTGTAGCAAGAGACTAAGCCTTTCAGGCACTGCTGCTCCAAGAGAGAGACAGGTCACAAAAGGCACGGATCACTTCAGACACAGTTTTATATGTTGTTTCTATGTCCCTCCCCCAGAGCACTGTGACTGGAAGGGAACTCAAAGAAAGATCACAGTCACTGGCCACCTACAGATGTCAATATCAGAGCAGTCTTTCCCCACCACACACAGCCTTTTCCATGTATGGAAGATCACCCCCTCCCCCTCCCTCTTTTCAGTTTCTGTTTGCTGCAAGCCTTCCAAATCTCCAAACCTTTTTGATTCTGTCTGAATTGATTCAGAGGCTTCCAATTAGATTTGGACCTTTTAATTCCATTTGGACTGGGACGTTCAGCTGCCAAATCAGGCCAATCTCCTCTGAATCTAATTGGCTACCACAGCTTTGCACAGCCGTAATATATTAGCATTTTTCTCCTACTTGCAGAGAGCTGAATTTTGAGAAATTAAGTAGTTTAGCCTCAATTAGCATCATGTAGATGGATAGTTTTAATTATATCAAAGACTCTCTTTCTAGAACAGGTTTGAAAGCCATAATTAAGATTTTTTTAAAATTATATTTGCATGCCATATTATTTATTGGTTTAATATTTGAATTTTGTTTTTGATTTGGTTTTTACCTAGATGGAGATAATTGAATAAAAATGTAGTTCTTTAGCTTGCTTTTCAGAGGTGAAGAGGATTTTTCGGGGGGACGACATGCTTTTCACATGTGGCTTTCCCTAATTTCAACATTTCTCCAACACTACCAAATTAAAAAAGGCATTGTTATGTGGCCATTTGTGAGCCAACACAACAGGAATATTTGCTTTGGAATGCTAATATGTAAAAGGTATACTGTGTCACTGGTTACTCCTGTGTACAATTCATAATTTATACTTGCTGTCTCTCACTTCATAGTTACGTGATTCACACTTAATAAGGTAAGATTTGCTCCTCCTTCAGCTGAAAGCAATGGAAGTGTCGCTGTTGAATTCTTTGGACACTTAAGTTGACTAGTTTTTTTGCAGGTTCACTTAATTCTATTTTTAATACTTTAAAATTTTTTCAGAGTACCAATTCCTTGGGGTCCTGGACACTTTCTAGCACTACAAAAATAGTGTCATTGAAGTATATCTTCCCCTTAGCATGACAGAGTGACCACAAAGGTGTGCTCTCGAGCCAGTGGATGAAAGTAGCTGCTTCTTTGATCCCCCTCCTCCCAACAGAATCTGTTAATGAGCCTTATGGATGACAGCCTGCCTTCCTTCTTTAGGGGAAGGAAGACTCAGAAGGCTGTCACTGATCAGCTGGCAGCTGTTGCTGTGGTCTGCCGCTCCCAGGCTGGAGCACAACTTGTTTTTGAGATTTTTAGAACTCTTTTCCTCATTTTGATTTGTTTCTTTAGGGGAACTTTTAGTGTTTTCAAAAGGTATTCAATGAATCTGTTACAGAAATATGGGTGTTTTGTTTACAACTCTGATAATAGTGGCACAAATTTATCTTGGCAGCATGCTGTAATCCTTAAAGAACATCCACCTTTAGTGGTGATAGTTCTCAGTTATAATTCAATCTATGACTTGCATGCAAAATTTTCAACCAGTTAGTACTAATGTTAACATCCTTCTGAAGAGAGCTAGACTAACTAGCAAATCATTTCACATATAAATAGGTTAGATGCTCAGTGTGAAAGAATAAATTTTGGTCACAATCCACCTGAGAGGAATTTGAACCAGGAATGTGCCCATTAACAATATTCTGAACAACCCATTTCCCACAGACTTTTATGTAAGTGATTTTCAAAAAAGCTTAACAGTTAGATATCTTAATCCTACTTAAATTTAATGTAATTTGTGGCGTGCATGTGACTAATTTCCTCAGGTTTTTTTTTAAGAATCTCAGTCAACAGCTTTAATAAATAGGAAAGAATTAATGTCCAGTGCTGTTAAAAACAGTTTCTTCAAAAAAACCCGAAAACTGACAAGAATTATAATTGACTTCTTACTGGTGGACTGCTGAAAATGTAGAAGGATGAACCTTTCAATGCCAGGAACTTGAATTTGTATATCTGTGATGAATCAGTTCCATCAAGTCTCTCATTCACCCATCCCATATGTATGATCTGTAGGGCAAAAGCAGTGATAATTAAAATTCAATCTTCAACAGAAGCACAATATATATCATATTTACTTCAACATAAGATGACCCTGTATATAAGACAACCCTCCAGTTATTAAATTCTCTACACGAAAAAGAAATACATTTGTTATATTTTTCCAGGTGTAGAATCAAATTATGGGAGGGTTATCTTGAATTTGTCCCCTTCCCAGTGCTACAGCAGGGAAAATAGTGGTGGGGAGTCAGGTGGCTGGGGGGGTCAGATCCCTTGTCCTCAGCCCCTTGACCAATTTCTTCTCCCTGCAACCTTCCTGCCACATTTACTATCAGACCCTACTTAGGCTCTGCTTCCTCCCTGAGGACAATGTGGAAAAAGTGAGCTGTATGTGACAGTAAGGTGGGGGAAAGGGACAGAAGGAAGGGCAGAAGCTGCAGAAAGCCCAGAAAGACTATGTCCACTGCTACCCCTGCATCTAAGGATTTGGTGACCTGGTCATAGAAGGCCACCAGGTTGGTGTGACAGGACCTGCCATTCATGACTGGAACTGGATGTTCTGGTCAGAAGTCCTGAGACCCTCCAAAAATTTATATGCAGATGAGGTACAGGGCTGCCTGGTCCATCTCCACCCCACAGGGTGCATCCCAAGAAGTGCACACATGTGGTTTGAGACACCTCAAATCTGTTTAAGGCACCACAAACTGCACTCAGTGCATGTACACCCATTTACCGTGCTGCTAACTTGCAGCATGGTGGGGGTTTTTGACACAGGGAGATCCCAGTGTAAGAAAAAACAAAAAAAATCCGCTGCTAACAAAATCTGCACTTTTGAGAAAAAAATGTGCACCACCAGAAATGGAGCCTTGGTGGCCAGAGCCATGCTCTGGCTGCTAGCCAGGCTCTGAGTGGCCAGATAAAAACTGCTGCTGTCTCAGGAAGTCCCCAGGGTCCCAGGTAAAGCTGCTAGGGCCAGCACAGGTGCAAATTTGTGCTACTGCTTTTTTTGCTGCAGCAACTACATGCTCCTGCATGTGGGAACAACCCATAGACAGCAGAGCCACAGTAATCACATAGCAAAGAGAGGGGAGATGTTTGCCAGACATTTAAGGCTGGTAAAGAAATAGAAATAATTGGAAATGGAAAAGAAAGGTGCAGCTCAGCTGTGGGAGTCAAGAGGAAGTAGAAATGTATTTGATGTAGTGGTTCACAATGACTTTAAAAACAGTTGGTGCTAAGGGGGGCTGAGCACAATGGGCACTATATTTCATTCAGATGGACTGCACTAATCTAGTCTTTTGCTATGTTCCCATCACTGTGCTTGCCTAATGTGGGACATGTATTTTATGTTCAGCCTGAGCTGCATTCAATCAACTTCATAGTACATGCTACTTCTAGCAGCAGTTTAATGCTAGACAATGTTTTTAATGAGGGGGAGGGATAAGGGGGGAGGGGTTTGCTGGTACGCAAATATAATGTGAGGGGCTTTTTTTCCCCGTGCTGATTGGGAGGGAAAAATCTTGTCTTATATTTGAGTTAACACAGTTCAGATGAGTGACCTTGAATTTCAATCCATCAAATCTGTATCTTCACCTCCCTCAGCCCCTCCTGTTGCCCTTGGCCATCCACTGTACAACTAGCTTTCAGGTGTACACAGAGGCATGAACCACAGTGCATAGGCTCTTGGCCCCTAACCTATGTAGCTGAATCATATTGGCTCTGCTTCAACAAGGACCTTCATCGGACATGTGTGAACATGGATGGGAAACAGCTAATAAAGGTTTGGGATAGATAAGTTTATTCTGATATAACAAGTTGCAGCTGGCCAAATATTTTTTCCCTTAATTGAACCTGAATATTTCTGGAGGTTCCAAAAAAATGCCACTGATATAAAACCCTGCAGTATATAGTTCAGTATACACTGAAGTTCCTGGCTAAGTACAAATAGTCAAAAAGGCTAGGGTGGAATTGAGCCATTTTTTTCAGGTTTCTCTAAGCTGTGAAGATTGAACCAACAGTGAACTGAATTCATGTTGCCAGCCATTGCCAAGCCCAGCCCAGCCAAGCAGGGGCCATCCCTGATTGGCTGCCCAGTGCATACCCCCAGCCCCCTGCTGTCCCCCTGCAGGGGAGAGGAAAGGAGACCCTGTCCTGGTACTGATCCTCCCCCCGCCCCCCAGTTGGGCATCTGGACATGGGAAAGAAGCCTCAAGGGACTTCCCTTAGCAAGGTCACCCAGCCCAGGGCTGTCCTGCCACGAGGTGCCCCTTGCTGAGAGGAACCCACTCCTCCACCTTCCCGCTATCCAGCTGGCAACTTGGCTCCCACTGTGTGCCCCCATGCCTGACTGTAGGGGCAGACACCTGGTCAAAGAGAATGCTCCCCCCTCCCACGTGTGGCAGCAACAAGGGGTAGGGGCAGCCATGGGCCAGGGGAAGCCCCTCCAAACATGGGGCTCCCCCTGTGTCCCAGAGGATGCTCCCTCCCTCCCACCTGCAGCAGAGCCAAGTCACCCAGCTGTACAGGTGGTGTGGGGAATTCCCCTTGGCTCTCTGGGGCAGGGCTGCAGAACCCTAGGCTGGGCCAGCAGGAACTCCCTGAGGCATGGGTCTCCCCTTGTGCCCTCACACCCAGCTGCAGGCACCCAGATCAGGGGAATGCTCCCCGCTTCCCACCTGCACCAAACTGCCTGACCCCATGGGGGAGGGAGAGAGGGGATTCCCATCGGCTCCCTCCCTTGGATGTGGGGCTCCAGGATGGGCTGGAGGAATCTGCCTGAAGCATGGGGCTCCCACTGGATTCTCATGCCTGGCTGCATGGGCAGGCATCTGGCCTAGGGGAATGCTTCCCTCCTCCCACCTGCTGCCTGGCCATGCAAGGGGTTGGGGAGTAATTCCTCTCAGTTCCCCAGGGTAGGGCAGCCCCAATCTGGGGGACCCCAGGTCAGGGGAACCCCCCTGAGGTAAGGGGCTGCCCCTGGGCCCCACGCCCAGCTACATGGGCAGGTACCTGGCCTGAAGAAATGCTCCACCCCCCAACTTGTGGCAGTGGCAGAGTTAGGTTACTGGCCACACAGGGGAGTGGAGGGTTTGGGGCGGGTTCACCTTGGCTCCCTGCAGCATGGCAGACCAAGGCTACTGTGGCTGTGGCTGTGGCTGGGGTCGGGGGAGGCTCTGTTTTCCTCACCTCCCACTTCCACTGGGCTGACAAGTGCAGGCAGGATGCAGGATGGGGAGCAAAGAAAGAGGTTTTTCTGTCTCAGCTGTGTGATAGCCTGGGGGTGGGGCCATCTAGGTGCTAGGCTGGAGCAGCAGAGTCTGAGCCGTGTTTCAACAAGCAGTCCTGTGAGGGGTGGTTTGCAGGGGACCACGAATCATCCCAATATGCTGGGAGACTGTGAGGCAGCTTAAGTTGGGATGGGATCTGGGACAGAAGTTTAACCTAAATCAGTTAAGTCTGATACTACATCATAGATTTCATAGACATTAGGGCTAGAAGGGACCTTGCAGGAGCATTGGGTCCAGTCCCCTGCCTAAGGGGCAGGAAGTCTGCTGGGGTCAAGTGACCCAAGCAAGAAACTCATCCAAGTGCATTTTAAAGGTGTCCAGAGTAGGTGCTTGCACCACTTCTGTGAGGAGTCTATTCCAGACTCTGGGGATTCAGATGGTAAATAACATTTTTCTTATGTCCAGCCTAAAATAGTCTTCCCGGAGTTTGTGACTGTTAGATCTAGTCTTCCCTTGGGGTGCTCTGGTGAACAGACATTCTCTGAGTTCCTGGTGCACACCCCTTATATACTTAGGTTGCCACCAAGTCCCCCCTGAGCCTTCACTTCTCCAGGCTAAAGAGTCCCATGGCTCTTAGCTTCTCTTCATAAGGCCTGTTTTCTTGCCCTCTGATCATGCACGTGGCTCTCCTCTGTACTCTCTCAAGCTTCTCCACAATCTTCTTGAATTGTGGAGCCCAGAATTGGATGCAGTACTCCAGCTGCAGCTTCACCAAGGCCGAGTACAGTGTGAGGATGACATCCTGAGATTTACTTGAGAAGCACTTATGGATGCAAGCCAGAGCTCTGTTTGCTTTACCAGCTGCAACATTGTATTGGTGGCTCATGTTTATCTTGTGGTCAATCATGACCCCCTAGTCCCTTTTGGCTGGGGTGCTAGTGAGCATAGCCCTGCTAAGCCTATAAGCATGCTGCAGGGGGGAGGTTCCACCTGAGGTGAAGTGCCTTGCATTCTCAGTGTTGAATGCCATCAGAGTTTCATCATCTCAACTTGCGAGCCTGTCCAGGTTGGCTTGAATCACCAGCCTATCCTCTAGTGTGACCACGCCTCCCCACAGTTTGGTGTCATCAGTGAATTTAGCCAGTCTGCTTCTGATACCTGAATCCAGATCATTTATAAATATATTAAAGCATACTGGTCCAAATACAGAGCCCTGGGGGCCACCACTGGTAACCAGGCGCCAGATTGACATGGCTCCATCAACAATGACTCTCTGGGTCTGACCATGGAGCCAGATCCTGAGCCATCAGAGGTTGTTGAGGCCACAATTCCCCAGTTTAACCCTGAGGAATTCATGGGAGATGAAGTCAAAGACATTTTTTGAAGACCCAGTAGACGATATCAACCTCTTCTCCTTTCTCCAGGTGATGCATCACCTGGTCATAGAAGGAAGCAAGGTTGGTCAAGCAAGACCTGCCCACAATGAAGTCATGTTGGCTGTCTTTCAGAATGCTGCATTCCAGTAGCCTGTTGTTGATGGTTTCTTTGATGATTTTTTCCAATATATTTCCAGACTGAGGTCAAACTGTTTGGCCTGCAGTTCCCTCTATCTTCCTTCCTCCCTTTCTTGAAGATGGGCACCATGTTGGCCCTCTTGCAATCCTCAGGAACCTCACCCAAGCACCAAGAATTCTCAAATATCCTTGCCATTGGCCATGCAATGATATCTGTCAGTTCTTTTAGCACTCTTGAGTGCATTCCATCCAGATCAACTGATTTGTG